TTACCAGTTCTGTGAGGCCTTCCTTGTCACTGCCTCCATGCCTGGTGGCAGCCACTTTCTCCCTTGTACTCTGTGCATACCATGTGCACACCTGTTAGAGCCCTGGTCCCATGGAACGCTATCTGCGCGTTTACACAACTTGTCTTTTGGTGGACCTAGAGGTTCTTCGGGGTGCAGGACTGAGCTTTGGTCATTCCAAGGTAGGGACGTACATAACCACAATCAATACGTGTTTATTAAGCAGGCAAAGAGAGGCACAGGTGGATGTAGGAGGCCATAGAAGGCTGTATTCTGAAGGCTAGAGACCTTTGGATACCTGGAAGCGAGATGAGAGGAGGGCATTTCTGGCACGGGGAGCATCGGGGTGTGAGCCCAGAGGTAGGAAATGACAAGGCAGTTGTGCTCCTAGGCAGTAGGCACAGTGACATGCTGTCAGCACCACTCAGCTCCACCGCGGACGTAAACAGACTTGGAATGATTGCGTCGCATATAAATATGCTTCTCGGTGCTGGCCAGTACTGCACCTCTTAGTAGAGGTGCTGTATTTCATACTTAATAACCTTAACCTGTAACTTAGTAGAGGTGCTATGTTTCACACTTAATAACCTTAACCTATAACTTCAAAGGAGTTAAAGATATGCTTTCCACTGTAAAATGGAGGCTACATACTCAACAAAGTCTAGTTAATTCTTCAAGACCTTTATGGTTGCTGTTAGATGTAACATGTTAGAAATGTTAGCAGCTCAGTAGGACAGAAAAATGCAATATAAGACTGTTCTTAACAGTCGTATATAGATGTTAAGAACAGTGACTTTGTAGTCAGATTCATCGTGACTCTTCCTTTTCCTACCTGTGTGATCCTGAACAAGTCACCTTTCGATCCTAATTTCTTCATTTTTTAGTGAAGGTATTACCTGCCTATGGAGACTAAGATGTATGTGAGGCGTTAGCACTATGTTTAGTCCTGAATGAAGCATTTACCAAATAGTAGCTCATTCAAAAATAGTAATTCCATAACCTCTCACAGACAAATGTGAAAATTCATAATTGTGTTTCCCAGAGGAAGAGTTAACACACGATTCTTAAACATAAACGGTCATCGGGAAAATACGTATGAAGTGGGATGCTGTCCTTGCCCCTAGGCACAGCTGGCTAGATACAGCCGTCTCTAAAGTGGAGTGTGGTGTGTAGTGCTGGTTACTCTCAAAGCACCAACTCAAACCAACTGATCTGACAGAGGTAAAATTAGTCCCAGATAAGCTAAAACCCAGGGACAATTTTCTGTATTTGGAAATAAGGTGATTACTTATGCAAATTACTTAGGAAAAATTCACTTTTCTCTTTTACTCTGCATAATCAAGAGCATGCTGTACAGCTGCTCCTAAGGAAGAGAAGGAAAGTGGTGTGCCGCTTTCAATTTTAAATGAGTAAAAATAGGACATGTATAAAATAGAGTATCACTGAATGATCATTCCATTTTTTTTATAATATACTTTCAAAAGGAGGGTGGCAGTCTTAACTGTGTAGGTTCTCGAAATCTCTCAGCCTACACAGAATTCATACATGTCCAGATGAGTCTTTCTAGTAGACACAAAGTTGCTTTTCTTCCATGCTGAGATTGCACAATTCCTACTTTCCCATGGCCCACCCCCCCACACCTTCCGGAAGTTGTTTGGCATACCTCACCCCACCTCTGAGCTGCTGTGCTCTCGATTTCTTGCATCCACTTGATTGTGTTAAAATTATCTGCATATATTAATATCTGTCACCCTCATAAGACTGAGTATGTTCACAAGCAGGCGTTTTCTTACTTGTGTTTGTGTGTTCAGTATTTAAAGATGGACTGACTTATACAAGATGCTTGGTAAAGTTTTGATGGTTGCATGAATGCATGCCTGTTCGCTAAATTTTTCTTACATCTTCTTCCCGAGTACACCATACCTCTGAAACGCTAGGAAACTGTGACACTTCTTGTTACACTTCTTGTTACTGCTACCGCAGTAGCTTTGGCACCTTGGTGAACATTTATCCCATTGCTCTGTATCCTTGCCGTTAATATCCACTTTCCTGGAAACACTTTCTAGGGTCCATTTGGCAATTATTAAATCTTTGTTTCTATTTTATCCCCATACGTGCTAGTAAAATATTTATAAAATGACCACCAAGATTTTTATTGAATTTAAATGTCATTACGGGGAAAATGAATACAAATGCTCTTATCAGGTGCAGTTCTTCTGAGAATGATCAGTATTATTCGCTTCATTCTGTAGGTATTAACAAAAACCTAAAATATATGTGTTGTTGAGTAAATGACACCTATAATATACTTTGTTTTTCTGCCCTTTGGCTGTTATTTACTGTGAGTCCTTGAAGTTAATTTCAGAGGTTATTCCAGGGTAAGGAGTTGGAATTATGCAAGAATCCCACATACCTTATTAGCTCCCAGCTTAAACTAATTAAAAAAGAACTAGTTCTGGGATTAGAGCTCCCTTGATGAAATTATTGAAATGTGAAATTTGAATTTAAGACTGTCTTGAAAACATAAATGCATTTTGCCTACTGGTAATTAATTTTGTTTTTTTCCCCCCTTTTCTTTTTAGTTTTAATTTTGGTTGCTGTTACTGCTGATATCTGAGCCAAAGTGGTGATGCTGCTCGAGGGAGGTTACTGCAGCCCCTAAGTCAACGATTGTGTGGTAAGAGTGTGTGCCTTTTACCCTTGAAGCCGTTTGATTTCTATAACGTTACAGTTTAGAAATTTAATTAGAAATAGAATAGCATAAAATATTTTAATATTTTTGAATATTTAATATTAATGTTTCAATATATAAATATTAGCAGATAATATTTTAGAGCTTTAGATCCTAATCAACAGTTCAGGACTTTGAAAGAGAAAAAAATGTAACTTGGTCTATTCATTTCATATTCATTTTTTTGTGTGAAAAACAAACATGACTATCTAGTTTATGACTTACCAAACGGAGATGTCATTTTCTTCCGTGTATTTTTTTGCCTATTTGCTTTTTCTTTTCTGGGATTTAACTAGTTCTTCGTTATGTGTCTTGCTAATAACGAATGGGTATGAGAAGTCAAGATTTAAGAACTTAAACCCAGTCAGTTTTCCTATAATTTACTCTGAACTGAAGTGGTGGTGATTTACAGCAGTGGCTAAAATGAATTTTTTGAATTATTTATGGATTTCAATGATCTGTCTTGCTCTGTTTTTGAGAGGCAATTGAGGAATAGTGAGACATAGTAGACTGCTAGGGCAAGTCATTTCTTTGAGCGTCACTTTCCACGTGTGCAGAAACCATCCTCTGTCTTGTTTTGTGGAATTGTAAAAATCAAATGAGATGATGTGTGTGAAATTTTCCTTTTTTTCTTTCTTTCTTTCTCCCTTCTCCCTTCCCTTCCCTAGTAGGGAGAGAATAACAAAGGTTTTTTGTTTGTTGGTATTGAGAGAGAACTAAGGTAGAGGAAAGGATGCTACACGAGACACTGGAGGACTTGATTTCTAATCCTGTTTCACCTTGACCTCGGGTGTATCATTACATTAATTTCCCAGAGGAAAATTGAATTTGATTTCCATAGTTTCACTTTACAGGTAACTTTTCAGGAATACATCTGTATTCTCTGACCATAATTGAATTAAGCTAGAAATCAGTATCTGATATCTGGGAAATCCCCAAATACCTTGAAATTATCACATTCTGAAAACCTGTGGGTTAAAGAGGAGATCACAAGGGATATGAGAAAATATTTTGAATTAAATGAAAATGAAAACATATCAAAATGTATGGGATGCACTTAAAGTACTACTTTAAAGGGAAATTTATAGTGTTAGATGCTTGTATTAGAAAGCAAAAGTTTTGAAATGATCTAAACTTTCACCTTAAGAAATCAGGAACTAAAACGCAGAACAAGAAGAGGAAAGAAATAACAAAGATAAGAACAAAAATCAATAAAATAGAAAAAAAATCAGTGAAACCAGAAGCTGGTTATTCGATGAGATAAAATTGATAAACTTGTAGCCAGACTATCAGGAACAAAAAGAGAAAATAGAAATTCCTAATATTAGAAAAGAAAGTGGGACCATCACTGTAGATCTTACACATATTAAAAGGATAATAAGGGAATATTATGAACCACTTAATATGTTTGATAACTTAGATAAATAAACAAATTTCATCAAAGATACAAGCTACCAAACCACACTCAAGAAGAAATGGATAACCTGAATTACTTTTTATTACACAAATTGAATTTCTAGTTAAAAAGCCTCTCACAAAGAAAGCCCTAAGCTCACATGGTCTCATTGGTGAATTCTACCAACCATTAATACCAGTTATATACAAACTCTTCAGAAAATAGAAGGGAGGGAACACAAGCTTATTTTATGAGGCCAGTATTATTACCCTGGTCCCCCGCAAAAGAGATTTTATTTAATAAAATATTAGCAAGTTGAATATAGTTAATATAAAAAGGATAATGCGTCATGACCAAGTGCTGTTTATTCCGGGGGTACTTTCCTGTTCAGCATTGTACAGGAAATGCTAGTCAGCGCAGTAAAGCAAAGGAAAAAGGCATATAGACAGGGAAAGAAGACATAAATCAAATTCAGAATTCCCTTAGCAAGGGAGGCTGAGAAATGTGGATTTAGTCTTCAGGCTTAGCCTGTGATGTACGCGAGAGGACAGAGGAGATGGGAATAGATGCTGAATGTTAGTAGATAATACATTTTGGTTTTTGTGCTCATGATCTGAATCTGAAAGCCCTAAAAGCAGGGCAACATTTATATCACTTGTGGTTTTCAGTTACTGTTTACTTTGATGTTAAAAGTGAACATCATCTGGTGGGAGAGTCTTATTTCAGTGTTATCTTTCTTCTGCTAATATAGCTGGGAAAGCTGTGTATGGTACTTAAACGTTATACATTGGTTTAAACGCCATTAAATATTTTAGCTCTTGTTTTTTAACTTAAAGAAGAGGGCCGTTGGAACCAATGTTAAGATGTTCTCTTATATTCTAAGGGAAAACAGCAATATTTGTTAAATGTGTTATAACTATCATTTAGCTTTGGATGAGTTAAAATTGCTTTGTGTGCTGGCTATTTCTTAGAATAAATTGACATGTTTTCTATAACAATATAAGCCACATATTAATATTATGCCTATTGATTTCTGCTCAGTAATTCCCAATATTTGCTTATTTTAATGATGGGTAACATCGTAGAGTTGAGGAAACCTGAATTCCAGTCCCAGCTATCGGCCTGGGATAGTTATATGATAACACATCAGTGTCTCTGGATGGTTTTACTGGAATTATTTCTGAGTCTCTTGTAATGAAACATTTTTACAGCGTAAGTGGAATGCTTATAAATTTAAATGAATATATGGTTTAATAATTGTGTGCCTTTCTATTTTAATGAAATATTACTGACCATATCAGATGGTGCTGAGTACTTGGTAGGTCAGAGTGGTATAGTATAGAATGGTATAGGGAGTATAAGTTTAGGAGTTAATAGATAATCTTGTGTTCAAATGCTAAAAACATACAGTGCAAAATCCACTTAAATCCTTGAGCCTCAGTTCCCTCCTGTGTAAAAGGAGGATAATAATCTTGGGAAACTTCTGGAAACGTTAAAAATAGTACTCAAAGATTTTAGCAGACAGTAGGCTTGCAAATGTTGATGCTAATATTGTTGCAGAAACATGAGACTTCAGCATCTGATAGACAGTTCTTATATTTACTAGTTATTGCACATTGACCTTTTTGAGCCCTGATTTCTTAATCTGTTGAATGGGGGAAATACCAAACTTGAAAGTTATAATGGGACATAAACGACACAATGTATGTAAAAATGCTCCTGTATGTCATCATTTAACCGGTTTACCACCATTGGCTTTATTTTCATTTTTTGGTTGGTTTTCTATAAAGTTACCCATAAACACTGATCCTTCTTGAAGGTGATTGCTATTTATTTGTTGGGTTATGTTCAGAAGAATGGAGCTGGTTAGGACGCCAGCATCGAATGTTTTGAAATCAAGCACATAGGTTGCAAATTTGAGATACTTACACTATCTAGTATTTTTCATCCTGCTTTCACAGCTCAGAGAATTGGGAATAGTTGATGAAAATAACCATTTAATTTATCTTATCTTTCTTTCATGGGTAATTTCTAGTTGCCAAAAGTAATGCCATCAAGATGTCTCTTATTTCTAAAAACACAGAAACCTAGGTTTGGTAGCATACATGCTGGGGAGCTCCTGGTGGGTCACACAGCTTTACTGCTGTTTTGACCATATCCTGTTGTAATTATGTTCAGTCACGTGATATTGCCAACATGTGACCATTGTAACCCGAAAAAATGTTGATTTCATATGGTTCAACTTGATAGTTCAGGTTATGGCGAGTATTTTCTTTACACACTTGGAAAATCGTCCAATTTTTAAATTTTTTGTTTCCCCTTGGAATTTACATTTATTTCTAATGCATTTTGGATTTTCTTTTGTAATTTATGCATTTAATGTCAGTCTTAAAAATTGGTAAGGTAGAGAAAAATATGTGATAGATCTTTCTTAACAAAGGGAGATTCAAATTTTTTGTAAGACTTGTAATTTATGATTAACTAGGTGGTTAGAAACAAAAACTAGAGCTTTTTGAGAATTAAACTTTGCAGTTATAGGTCATAACGGATTCTGAGTACCTAAAAATTCTTTGTGAACTTTTCAAATTCTTTGAAATCAGTATTTTTTAGAAAATCATCTCTTTCTAGCAAGTTGAAATACTTCTGGCAATTTTAACTTCTGAGTATTTATTGATGTATTTTATATGATGAAAGAAATGCAGCTTTAGTTAAATTTAAAGTTATGTTTATAAAATGGTTATGTTCTGTTTTTATTGTACCTTGAATAAGGAAGTAACGATTTTAGTTTTATTTAAAAGAGCATAATTTAATAAATATTTAATGTGGATTGTAAATAATAATAATGCAGTAATCAGCTTATGAGCTTTTCCTATGTGTCATAATGTGATTGCAAACTAATTGTAGTTCTGATAAATGACTTCTTCCCCTTCCTTTCAATTTATGTGAAAAGGGAGGTAGTTAATTTTTAATTTGTCACATAAACATTTATTTTTCATACGAATACAATCTAGTATTTTTGTTCCACTTTGTAGTTTTTGGGGGGATTTTCAGGTATATCATCTAATCACAGCCTTTTGAGGTAACCAGGCAGATATTATTTATTGCTTTCATATTCTAAATAAAGTTTTGAGGTTTACTCAAGGTCTTAAATGACTTACCCGGGTCTCAGCTGTCGAACAACTTGGGGCTTCTGTTTGCCCGCACCATCTGCTTGTTTGGCTGTTGTGCTAGATTTCCAGGCCTCTTGAAGAAAGCTCTCTGTAAAGACTGTTTTAAGTGGTACACTCTGTAGGTAGGGTGGTAGAGCAAATTCTCTTCCATGAGGGAATTCTTGAGGAGGAAGATTTTCTTAGGAATTGAGTTTTTATTTCTGTTTGCTGTTCATACTACGCCCATTAACAGTGGCCTTTTGTAAGTTCTTTTGGAGCTGTGCCTGTCTTGTTTCTTCTGTCATGCTGTTTAGTCCCAAGTTCTGTGGCTAACATTTGACTTATTTTTCTGGACCATCATGTTAAAAAGTAAATATTAAAAAAATGTTCAGGAATCTCCA